TGGAGCTATAGAATTAAACTGAATTGAATTGAATTTATTATTTCCTGATACACATATCTGTATTTTATGTGTTTTATTAACTTCATTTCTTGTGTCCAATTTTAATTTGCTTAATTTCTCCTGATTTCTTTCACTTTCTGCATCAGGCATCATTCATCACATGAAGGGGGAGTATGAAACGGCGCTGAAGCTCCATAAAGCCCACCTGTCTTTAGCCCAGGAACTGGGGGACTACGCAGCTCAGGGGAGGGCCTACGGTAACATGGGCAACGCCTACCATGCTCTGGGCATCTACGACCAGGCAGTGCGGTACCACCGACAGGAACTGCAGATCTCTCTGGAGGTTATTTCTGTAGTCTTTCTGTTAAAGGCAGAGATGTCAGGTCGCATTCCTCTTGGATGAATCTTTTCTCTTGGTGCTGCAGGTGAACGATCGTCAGTCACAGGCATCTACTCACGGTAATCTGGCTGTGGCTTATCAGGCGTTGGGGGCTCATGACCGAGCTCTCCAGCACTACCGTCACCACCTGACCATTGCACGGGAACTCAGAGACACTCAAACTGAAGCAAGGGCTCTAGGCAAGCCAGATAAGAGGAAATATTAGTCTTTTACTCAAATAAATGAAATAATAACCAGTTAAATCAAGTATTTTTATTTAACTCTGCAGCAAACCTCGGTAACTTCCATAGTTGGAGGGGAGAGTATGCTCAGGCGCTGCCATACTTCCAGCAGTATCTGGCTTTGTCTCCTGGGCTGCAGGACCTGGAAGGGGAAGGAAAAGTCTGCCACAACCTGGCCTACGCTCACTACTGTCTGGGACAGTACAAAGACGCTGTCAGGTGAAAGATGCCAGGCTCTGCAAAACTATGGGTGTACTTTTTTATATTCTGTAATCAACTAACTTTAATGTACTTAATAACGATTTTAGATCATGAAACAGCTCAGACTGATGCATACAAATGAAACGCACAAAAAAAAAACAATTAGAGATGTGGTAGAAATCTGATGGAGGTAATGTTTTTTACATAGCGTACACAAAGGAGGAACATGGTGAAGCGTTAAAGTCATAGGGAAATTATATTTAAATGTCAAATCATTCTGGCTTAAATATGTAAATAAATGTACTCTTTATCAGACGATATTGTCCTAAAATTTAGAGAATTTCTATTTTTTTAAAAACCCTGTATAGTTTTCCTTCCGTTTCACAATCATACACTACTTTGTGTTTGGCTTTCGTATAAAAAATCAGCAAAACACAGCATAACTGTCATTATCGTGAGAAAGTGTTGATAAGTTAAAGCGGGAAGAATATTTTTACAAAACAAGATGCTGTTTTTAATCTTTTTACATCCTTACCACATTAGTATTTCTTTATTATTTAACTGAAAATCCCCATGATTCTTTCCTTTTCTCTTTTCTCAGGTATTACGAGCAGGACCTGGCCTTGGCTAAAGACCTCCAGGACAAATTAGCACAAGCAAAAGCCTACTGCAACCTCGGCCTTGCGCACAAAGCTCTAGGAGAGTACAGCAGAGCGGAAGAGTGTCAGAGATACCTGCTCTCTCTAGCACAAGCTCTGGATAACACACAGGTCATCTGCAAGAGCTCTGTTTTCTCCCTCGGTGAGGAGTTGTTGTTTTTCAGGGAGTAGTTGATTATAATCCACAGTGTTATGTTTATATTTGTCAGCAGGCGGTTTTCAGAGCCTACGGGAACCTCGGGGATGTGTTTGTGTGTCGGGGGGATCTCCCAGGAGCTGTGAAGTTCTACCAGCAGCAGCTAAGTTTGGCTCAGAAAGCTGCCGATCAAAAGATGGAGGCTGATGCGTACGCAGCACTGGGATCAGTTCACAGGTAATGAGGAAGTTTAGCAGTTTGTGCTTACTGTCGTATTACCATACCTTTGTCCTCGGCGCTGTGACAGCAGGGGACAAAGTTCTGTCAAAGCAGAATTTTATATCTACATTTTTATTTACTTATTGAGGAGGAAGATACTTTTGCACGTCTGAAATCAGAGATGCACAGATTGGAAACTTCAAATTTCTAATCTGCTCTTTGTAAAGCTTTGATCTGCCAATAATGATTTTCAGCTGATTTTAATATAATTATTAGTAAAAACAATATAATTTCCAGTCTTCTTACTGTGATGGATCATGAATTATTCATACTGAACCAGTGTCGTTATAGAGGGAATTTTTTTTCATTATTGTTGCAAGAAAAAAAACAGAATTTTCAAATGGAAACTTGAAGAAAATGTGATCTAGAATAAAACTTTGAAAAATACTCTATATAAAAAAAAGGTTTTAAAAGTAACTTTGCTGTTTTCTCAAATTTTATTTTTGTCTATTCCTTTTTTCAATTTTAATCCTTTAAAATTTCAGTTTTCAAAACTGTAGTTTGTTTATATTTTTAACAGATTTTATATTTTCAAATTTTATTTTTGTAAAACGGTTTTACGGATCACATTACTTCAATCTAAACACAAAAGCTCGCTCTGGACCAATGAAAATGCTGTTGCTAACGTCCAGCAGACCAATAGAAATGCTTCTTCCCTCCTCACTCCAGAGGAAAGCCCGCCCCCAGAAGTGAATTGAATGCGATCTGAAAAATGCAGTTAGAAAAGAATGCAATTCACAAAACTTTATATGCAAATTAGAAAATAAAAAAATTTAATCCAGAAAGAAAAAAAAATGAAAATAATGGGAAAAAATGTAATAGGAAAAAGTTAAGTGATAGATTATGAAAAATATGACAAATTAATAAAAAAAAAAAAAAACAGCTACTCTAAAAGTTACTCTCAAAACCTTTTTTTGATTAAGAATATTTTTCAAAGTTTTTTCAAAGTTCTGTGTCAAGCTTCTTTTCAATCTCCATTTAAAAAACATGTTATTTCTCTTTCAACAATAATGGAACAAAATTCACACCATAGCCGTCACTAAAACAGGGACTGACCAACAAAGACATAAATTACAGAGCTGATCCTCACTCAAGGCCTCACGTATTAAGTATTAGTGCTCGTAGTACAAAAACAGCAGTCTGTGTGTCTTTGCATTCTACAAAATTTGGATCCTTATCTAAGCTTTTTTAAATATTTCTAACTGGGCCAAATATTTCCAGATCCATTATGTTACATAAAAGGCAGACTTTAAAAGGAGAAGATTATCAAACTTTGTTATCTGTTTAGCCTGCTCTTCCTCTATGCTTCCTCTGGTTTAGTTTTTAAAGCAGCACTAAGTAACATTTTTACTTATTATAAATATAGAAAAAATATTATGAGAAAATAATAAATTCACTCTATGAACTTTTTTTTTTTTTTTTGATTAACACATTTTCAGTGTTTCAATTTTGGATTAGATTTATGTTTTTTATTAAATAAAAAATATTAAAAACTTTTTTGCTAGCAATAATAATGGGCAAAATTTACACCATAATTATCAGACTCCAAGATGACGTGCAAAGAGAGTCAAATTTTATACCTCTTGGATGAAAGTGTTTCTAACAAGTGAATGAATTCTATATTTGTTATCTTTAATCTCAGTCTTTTGATGTCATTAAATGTTATCAGTTTATGGTTAATATTCTAGCGATCAAAACGTCCGGTACAACGTCCGGTTAATTTGGACATTCCCCTTCACTGTTGCCACCCTGTGGTTCAGAGGTGAACTGCTTGTTCCAGTGGCGGTGAATTAGGGCCATGGGGCAACAGATCACCTGGTAATGGGTTGCATTAATACGCTTGGAGGGGCCATGGACACCCGTGGCCATCCCCCAGCTCCGCCTCTGCCAGTTGACAACATGAATTATCTCTGTCCACAACCTTTAAATCGTTGGACTAATTTTTGTGGGTAAAAAGATTGATTCAGACCCAGTGATTGGTCTGTTCGGGATTGTTTCCACTCGACCACTCTTCTGGCACACAGAGTAATATTAATTAAAGGGAAATAATCATCACCTCCTTCTTACATTCAGTGGATTCAGGGCTTTTTGTGTTATTTTGAAATTGGAGAAAGTCAGTTTTGTTGTGAGAAACTTTTTCGATAAATTCTCCACAATGTGGAGCTAAATCAGGACAGCTTGGATCGACATTGAATGTGAGATTTCTCATTGTAAAGTTAAACACTGAAGAACGTAACACTTAAAACTGTAACAATAAAAATGCAAACTCTGATATTTTTGAAACATTGATACTTAAAGCATTGATAGTGTTTAAATATTCAATGCCAAATCTCACATTTGATGTCATTGCAAGCCGTCACTGATTTAGCTCCATAGGGCCCTTTAATTCTTAAAAGAAGTCCATTTCATTTGTGTTCTGACAGGATTCTGGTTTATATTTATACCCCTTAACTTTGGCACCTGATTTTGTTTTTCTATGTGTGTTTTATTTATTTATTTCTGTTTAGTTTTGTACATTTAGACCATGTTTTTTTTTTTTTTTACTTGTCTGTTTGTGTTGTGCCTCTAATGCTTACTTCTTCCCTTCCTTCTTATCACCCGTCATGAAGGCTTCTTCGCCAGCTGGACGCCGCCTTGTCCTTCCACAGCCAGGAGCTGACTCTCCGTAAGGACCTGGCCGACCCCCAGGGGGAGTGCCGGGCCCTGGGCCACCTGGCAGCAGTCCATATGGCACAGGGGGACTACACCACAACCTTCCAGTGCTACGAAAGCCAGCTGGGGCTGGCGCAGGGGCTCAGAGACGCCCGTCTGGAGGCCCAGGTCCACGGAAACATGGGCATCACCAAGATGAACATGGCGGTGTTTGAGGAAGCTATCGGCTACTTTGAGCAGCAGCTGGCCATGCTGCAGCAGCTAAGTGGAAGCGAGGCTATGCTGGACAGAGGGAGGGCCTACGGGAGCCTGGCGGACTGCTACGACGCTCTGGGAGACTACGAGGAGGCCATCCAGTACTACGAGAAATACCTGACGGTGGCTCAGAGTCTTAACCATGTCCAGGATCAGGAGAAAGCCTACAGAGGACTTGGAAATGCACACAGGTTGGTGTCAAGCATTTTTTAAAGGACTCATAGAATGCAAAACCGAGTTTCCATTGTGATAGATGAATAACAATAGTTCAGTGGGTGAAATGGACGTACAAAGAAGTTCAAACCCCATCAACACTTCCTTTCTCTGCAAATCTCACAATTCTAAACTTCCACCATAAAACGGGCAAATCCAAATGTTGCCTTATTTGGTTCTGGCCTGAAATTGACATTCAGACCAGCCCACTGCTTCACTGACCCAAGAACTTGAACAGAGGTAGATGTAAGACACCTGTTTAGCTGTTTAGCCTACAGATGGGTTTACTTCTATAAGAATTACAAAGCAGACAGTTTCTCTATTGAAAATGAGCCAGAACCACAGGTGTAAATGCAGTGTTCCAGGCTGCACAGAGGAGGGGGGACATTTTCAGTCTTACCAAGGATCCAAACACTCGACAGGCATGGATTATGTTTGTCTATCAGAAGATCCCTGCAAAGTTTGATGCTCAGCTGTTCATTTGCTTTAACCATTTTACCGATGACAGCTTTCAAAATCTTGGACAGTTCAAAGCAGGATTTGGGTTGGGTTCAGTCGCTCCATTCACAGCCCTGAAGCTCACGGCTCAGTTCTGCTGCACTGTAGTCGACCAAAATCCCAGATGATTTTGAAATTCGCCCCAGACATTTTTTTAGGTACGAAAAGTAGGACATGTCCAGGAAAAAGAGGACGTCTGGTCACCCTACCATATCAACAATTTCGATGTTTCAGTGAGTGAGTGCTTGTTGCTAAGATGAGTCTTTGCTCAGCAGCTTTGCTCGTTGTAAACCAACCAATCAGCGTACAGGTCATCTAAATATTCATGATCATACCATAAAAGGAAGAAAACCTGTCGTTTCATTCTGGGGCTTTTAACCAGGCTTTCATTAGGGCTCATAGAACAGCAAATATGCCATTTTCAGCCCAACCAATGTTACACACCCTATTCAGAGACCTTAACGACCAGCACCAAATACCCTAGAGCGGGCATTCCCAAACTCGGTCCTCAAGGCCCCCTGTCCTGCAGGTTTTAGAGGTTTCCTTGCTCCAGCACAGCTGATTTTAATTGAAAGCTGATTAACAGGCTTTTGGTCTACTGCAATCATTATAACCAGCTGTGCTGAAGCTGAGAAACCTCTAAAACCTGCAGGACAGGGGGCCTTGAGGACCGAGTTTGGGGATGCCTGCCCTAAAGAACCATTCTATTCTATATTTATATTAGTGTTGCGCCGATGCCATTTTTTGGCCCCGATACCGATACCCGATACCTGGCTGTGCAGTATCGGCCGATACCGATACAATAATAATGTAAAATAATTACCATCATGGTTTTGTCAAGCTGCTGCCTACCTTTGTGAAGCAGGAAAAAATCTAATACAAAGTGAATCCAGTAGAACTTTTTATTGCCTGCCAGGATGGGTGACAATAGTTGAATAAACTTTTGGCTCTCAAAATGGTATCGGTGCCCTATTTGTTGGTACTCACCGATAACGATACCACCATTTTAGGGCAGTAAAACCGTCCGATACTGGTATCGGTATCGGTGCTACACTAATTTATATACATAGTATCAGGGTTTTGTTTTATGGTTTTGAGGACACAAATGCAGAGGTGAGGAGGCAAAGGTGGCTTCTTAAAGTTTTAAGATTCACTAACATCCATTCCCACTGAGTAGGGCTGAAACAGCAGTCATGTTAGTGTAGAGTACTGAAGCTCTACATCAAGCCACNAGTTGGTGACGCAATATAAATTCCCTGACCAGGAATCGAACCCGGGCCACAGCGGTGAAAGCGCTGAATCCTGACCACTAGACAATCAGGGACATGTTTCTAACCTTTTTAATAGGGTTTTCACATCATGTCTGTTAATCAACAATGTGACGTGAAGCTTTGCAATATGCTCCTCAAGTTAGATGAGTGTCTGTCATCATCACATTAAAATAGAGACAGTTGAACCACATGTATTGAAGTAAAGTAAGAGATGATTGTGTTCTAAAACCTTTCCTTTCACTAAATTCACAAAAAGTCATTGTCATGGTAGGGATAAAATGGATTTTCCTTAAACACAGTTGTCCGGCTTTGGATTCCAACGCAGGATTTTGATTCCCTTTGGCATACACTGGATGACAGGTCAATAATGCCATGACCTACAAAACATTTCTTCAGCAAAATACCACTAAATTGTATCAATTTGATAGACTGTCTACCCAAAAAAACTACTGTTCAAGAGACATAGTAAAGACCTACAGCTCTCCACCCATTACTTTGCATCGTGTGAGTTGTGAAAACCTACCGTAGCTCAAGAAAGGACAACTTTATCCAAATATCAGATCCCAAATGCATTGTTAAACAAGTATCAGAACGGAAAAGAAAAGAATTGAAAAGATGTCATGTTACACTGAGGGTTGACAGGTCGTAGTACACAAGTTGTCACATTAAACAACAAACCGCCTTAGACATAAAACAGGGCAATATCTAGACTAATAACGTAGTCAGTTGGGCTTGGGAGATGTGATTGAGTGGTGTGCACAGGTTGTAACCTCATTTACCAGAAAGAGTTTACCTAGACAGATGGTCAGCACAAAGAAGTCTGACCAAATGGGTTGCATTATATCTTTTTAGCAGAAATACACTTTTAGCTTACGAAAATCAGCTTTGAACAACATTAGAGATATGCATTCAACTAAGTGGGGAGGTTGC